TGACAATGATGACAAAGATGATGAGGAACATGTGACAATGAAGACAATATGACAATAACAAAGATGATGAGGAACATGTGACAATGAAGACAATATGACAATAACAAAGATGATGAGGAACATGTGACAATGAAGACAATATGACAATAACAAAGATGATGAGGAACATGTGACAATGAAGACAATATGACAATAACAAAGATGATGAGGAACATGTGACAATGAAGACAATATGACAATAACAAAGATGATGAGAAAGATGTGACAATGAAGACAATATGACAATGACAAAGATGATGAGGAACATGTGACAAAGATGATGACGAACATGTGACAAAGATGATGAGGAAGATGTGACAATGAAGACAATATGACAATGACAAAGATGATGAGAAAGATGTGACAATGAAGATGATATGACAATGATGACAAAGATGATGAGGAAGACAATATGACAATGACAAAGATGATGAGGAACATGTGACAATGAAGATGATATGACAATGATGACAAAGATGATGAGGAAGATGTGACAATGAAGATGATATGACAATGATGACAAAGATGATGAGGAACATGTGACAATGAAGACAATATGACAATGACAAAGATGACGAGGAACATGTGGCAATAAAGACAATATGACAATGACAAAGATGATGAGGAAGGTATGACAATGAAGAATATATGCATGACAATGTTGACAGGTCTCATTTCGTCTCGCTACAGTGCGACGAGGTTCTGTAGAAGATGTTGCACCCGCTGCACTTCCTCCGTTTGAGTTATCGCCCCTGATGCAGTATGAAGTAGAGGAGGAACAGGCTGTGTTCAACGCATTCTCGTCAGGTACTGTATATACGCTGTATATTTCGCGGCGGTTTAATTTTCGCGAATTTCGCGAACGCGTCCCCGACCGCGAAAATAACAACACGCGAATAATTCATACCGAATAATAACGAGTAATTCATCGTTCGCCGATCGCGAAATTGTCCGTCAAGTCTGAATTTGCTCAAATGTCTGTACGCGAAAAATAGGCGTATACAGTATATAAGTCTGAGTCGTCTGCCATATTGTGTGCATCACTGCCACTCCGCGGTATTTGTAAAAAGTTTCGGACTTTCCGAGGAAAGTCCCTCGACCTTATATGAAGTGATGAATGAAATAAGTTTATTAGATTTCGTTGAAAACTGAATTCATATTTATCTTGTGTTAAATCCAAGAAATTAACTTACTATCGAAGATGTCACCTGCTGCCACCTATGGTGACGTCACATCCTGATGAAGATTTCCCGAAGGAAGATCGAAAATTTCGATAGTAATTAAGTTAATTTCTCGGATTTAACACAAGATAAATATGAATTCATACTTGTACGAAGTGGTCGGGTTGTGGTTGGGACAACAGAGGTTGTGCCCCATTCACTCTGGTTGCACAGGAACATCCCATCCCATAATACCCACGAGCAGCCCGTATGATATCACAAGCCCACGAGCTGCAGTTTCAGGGTTTCTTTTGAGTAAAAACTTTAAGTAACATGGGGCATGTTTGCAGTGTTCTGCTGCTTGGCATCCGTATACAACACCGCCGACATCTATTTTCAGGGGATGATGCTTGGCTAATCGGCGCCAACATAAAAGAAGAGTTTGGTGCGTCCATGGGTACCGATCCCGTCGTTTCCATGACAACCGGACCATCTCGGTTTCTCCAGGCCGAGCCGCCGAAAGGTGACAGTGACTACCTTGATTATACGGTTGCCGTGGAGACGGTGGAATGTGCGTGTGCGTGTGCGTGTGTGTCTGTGTCTGTCTGTGCCTGTGTCTGTGTCTGTGCGTGTTCGTGTGCGTGTGCGTGCGCGCGTGTGTGTCTGTGTCTGTCTGTACCTGTATCTGTCTCTGTGCGTGTGCGCGTGCGCGTGCGCGTACGTGTGTGTGTATGTATATGTGTGCGTGTGTGCGTGCGTGCGTGCGTGCGTGTGCGTGTGCGTGCGTGCGCGTTAATGCAATAAATTTCGTTCAAGGTATTCAGGAAGGGTATGAATATACATTGTAATGGTAATATATATTTTCTATGTCATAATAGCTGCACATAGACTTGTTAGCAGGTTTTCAAGCCGACAGGTATAATAGAAGATACCATTTTGTGTGCGTACGTGCGTGCGTGCGTGCGTGCGTGCGTGCGTGCGTGCGTGCGTGCGTGCGTGCGTGCGTGCACGCATGCATGCGAGTGCGTGTGTATGTGTATGTGTGGCATACATATACATATATCAGGCTGATATGCATACATAAGCCGACATTTCTGTCTCTGTTTGTGCCATTTTCTATTCTTTGTTTTTCTTCTGCTTTCTCAGTGGGTAAAAATTCAGATAGCGTATCTACGCGATGGGCATCTACAGCCACTGCTGAGGTAAGAAAGAGATAGAATGAAGGGAGGGTCTCTAGCTGTTAAGGGATAAATGTGGTGAGAAGGGGAAACAAGAAGAGAGGGAAGGACAGGAGAAACGAGAGAAAGAAAGCGAGAGAGTGAGAGAGAGAGAGAGAGAGAGAGAGAGAGAGAAAACGAGATAGAGAGAGAGAGAGAGCAAGCGAGATAGAGAGAGAGATAGAGTGAGAGAGAAAGAAAAAAAGCGAAAGAGAGAGAGAGAATGAGAGACAGAGAGAGAGAGAGAGAAAGAGAGAGACAGAGAGAGAGAGAG